TCCAGCACAGTCCTCTGTCCCTGGGCTCACAGTGGTCTCAGATTGACCCAAGGGTTGTGCTAGGGTTCTACATGATGTCATTTTACACACACGACTGTAATGATCTTATCCGCAATGATGCACCTTGCAGAAGAAGCAGCCAGAGATGCTCAGGAATTGGGGCAGCACCCTACAAGTTTCAGCGTCTGGATGGGGCTTGAACCCTGTGTGCACCACTCATGGTCATTTCACCAACCCACACTTCCCTCCCAGAAAACTTCCTGTGCATATCTGTAAACTGATGGATAATGAAAATTCGAGTCACCAACCACTCAAAGCTTAAGGAAACACCACTCATTGCTTTGCTGGGGAAGACTCATGTCTGAGCCATTTATGAGAATTCCTTGAAGGGTAAATACATGAACATAGTTTAAACTTTCAAAAAGCCTTTGATGTGGCTACTTCTTTTTTTTCTTTTAATGGAGTCCTTTTGGGCTTTGGAGACCTGTCATAGCTGACAAATTACCTCTGAGATAGGAAACAGCACGTAGCCAGAAGATGAGCTGGCACAGAGGGGAGCACATAGACCCTGGAGCCAGATGACTTGGGTCCAAAACTGGGCTCTCTTCCTGCCTGGCTCAGTGACCTTGGGCAATTTACTTATCTGCTCTGTGCCTCAATTTCCACATCTCTAAAATGAGAATGAAAAAAGAGCACCTCATAGGGCAGATGGGAGGACTAGGAATTTCATACATGTAACAAGTCTAGGCAATTCCTGCCACAAAATAATCATGATATGGGCTTGCCTTTAGCAGTATATATTTGCAGAATATAAAGTGGAGATCCCACCAGGGAGCAGTGGCCAGCCTCCCATCAACATCCATAAACTGAATACATGTACACATTGACATCATATTAAATTTATATCTGTGATCAGAGACAGCAAATAGAGAAATCTCCATGTCTTCTGGGGCCATTGAGCTCCTTTATGCAGAGAACTATTTCCCCCTTGACACTGATGAGGCTCTGACAAGGAGCAAAGAAAGCAGGAAGACGGCCTCTTGGCTTCGCTATGGGCAAAGGCAAGTCCCTGAATACGCATTTGTACAGCAGGGTCAATTTCTAACCTTCCAGACCCAGGCCCAAAAAACGGTAGCAGAAATCTAAGTCCCCATCCCCATCCCTCAGAGCAGTAGAAATAAGGAAGAATGTTGAGAGACCAGAAGTGAGTGGTCTGAAAAGACGACACTCTTTGAAGGGAGAGGATGGATCCAGGGCCTCCCACCCACCAATACTGCCTCTCCCCCCACCTGATGGAATTCTGAGCAGGGCAGAACCCTGGGAGAGTTCCAGAGTGTGCAGTTGCTCTAACCAGCCCTCTGTGCTGTGATATCACACGGCTCAGAAGCAGGGTTCCGGGAGTCTCGACCTGAGTTCCAAACCCCAGCTCCGTCTCTCTACCCCTCAGTTTAGAAACCACCCGTGACTCCAGTCCCAATGAACTTCTCATCTCTGCCAGCTGACTCTTCCCTTCATATCCCACAGGTCTTATCAGCCCAGCGGGGCCCTAATGACTGGCCACACTTACTCTCACTCAGCCTCCCTCCAGCTCTGACTTTCGGCCCTATACTACTCCAGGAGCACAATCCTCACTCCCTCTAGTTCCCACTCCTTCACAGGCTCAGGGAGAGAAGCAAGAGTGAAGGAATCAAGCACCTAATACTCGTGATGCCAAATGGTGGTGGGGGGTGGGAATGGTGAAAAAAAAAAAATGGAGCACCTTGCTGTGTGACCTTTAAAAAGTCACCTCCTCTCTCTGGGCCTCCATGTGTTCACTGGTTAAATAAAATATTTAGATAAGATGGCTGCTAAGGTCCCTTACGAGTTTAAAGCTCTGTTAGTCTTCAGAAGGCCTGGGACGGGAATGGAAGCTTCAGGAAAGTGGGGAGACCTCGCAGCTGTGCTGGGTTCACGCTGTTCGTACCTTCGTTCCGCATAGCTCACTGTCTGTGAACAGCTGTCTGTGAGTACAAAAATGTGATTGCATCCAGATCAATGCACGGCTCTAGGCCCCTGTGTGGAAGCATGTGTGTGAGACTGTGAGCCTTTCCAGGTGTGCGATTGTGTGTGTGCACGTGTGTCTGCCTGTATGTATGTGCCGAAGAGAGGAGTTTTGTTTTGTGGGTACCTGTGGATAGGACCTTAGGGTGAGCACACAGGGAGACTCGTGTTGGTGGTGGGGGGGGGGGGTCCCAGATGGAGAACTGGACTAAGATGGGAGTGGTGAGGGAGGTGCTGTCAGCTGTCATACTGGGGAGGTGCCCTTTGGCCAGGGAGCCCCAGCTCTAACCAGTATGTCCTCCTAGCTCCCCTCCTGCCCTGTAAACACCCCCCAAGCTCCGGCTGGGGCAGCAAGAGACCAGCCAGCTCTAGACCTGTAGAGCCTTCTTTAAAGGCGTCCAAAGCCTAGTCCATGAGATATTAATTATGTTTGTTATTCTTACTATGTTTTCAGCACTATATATTTTTCACACAACCCTGTGACAGGCATATTCGTATTTTATGGGTAAACCATGGTGCAGAGAGGTCAGGTAGGGAGGACAACTAAAAGGGATAAATGAAGCTACACCAGTTAGATCTGGGGAGGGCAGGACTGGGGTTCAGAAACAGGCAGCGTTTGGCCAGGATAACAGCAAGATTGGAAACAGAATCCAGAACCTTCCATCCTCCCAGCTGGCCTAGCTGAGACACTACGGTTGGAATGATATCAGGAAGGATTGCATTTAGACTCATCGAGAGACTCCCAAGGGGTTTCCGTAGGGTGAGACGTGTTAATGGTGGAAGGAGGACCCAATGCATCCAAGGACAGAGGGGACAAAACATAGAGCCTCTCTCAACCTGTTGATATCAACTGCATGGCAGGCCCTGGATTTGTGTGACTGGGATAGGCACCGGCCTTGAGAGGCTCATGTAGAGATGCCAACTCAGCTAAGTTATATCTGTCATACTTCCGGACTATTAAGTGTGAGGCAGACATGAGGATCCAACAGAAGGCTGACCCCTAGTGGTCCCCTCCTTCTGCTGAGACATGATGACTCCGGTGTCAACCCGCCTCCCTTCAGAAGTCACCTCTACTAACAATGCTTCTAAATAGGCTGGCAAATGACTCTCTATAAATGTACCAGACAGTTCTCTCCCACCCCAACATGGAATGTGGCCTGTAGCCAGAGGAACCACTCAGAGAATCGGTCCCCAAACCGCAGGCATGGCTGGTGGCCCAGGCAAGACACGCAAGCCTGACCCGGCAGCCTCTGGGATCTGAAGGGACATTAGGCTTGGGATTTGAAGTAGGAAAATGGGAGCAAGCCAGTCCTCAGGGATGTAGGCTGTAGAACACTCACTGTAAGTCCTGCCAACAGCTCCTAGGTGAGGTTTCCTTCAGCACTTCCCTTGACATGATCAACACAGCAGGAGCTGGAAAAACCTGACCTTGAAAATCACAGAATGTCATTACCTCTTGGCACAATGCAGGGAACATAGAGCCCAACTGAGAAATCTCGCAGAGGGGTGGCTCTGCTTTCAGGCAGTGACTTCCCTTCGGGAGTGTGGCAAGAACGTTGACACCGTGGGTGTCAAGTCTGTGGTGACCAAATGGGACTCCAGTGGGTCCCGTTCCCTACTCCTCAGGTGGGAGGCACTCTTGCAGCCAAGTTTCCATCTCATTCCTCTTGCATGAGAGTGCTCTGTTTACCCGGGAAGTGGGCCCTTTGGATACCTGTTTTCTGGGCAAGGACCCAGGAGAACACAGCAGACACCCTGGCACTAGCTTTCCTTAAAAGGTAAAGCCAGGGCCTCCGGCCAATGACGCACCTTCACCCCACCCAGGGACACAGAAAGTAGAAACCATTGTTCCCAGATGTGTTAATGATGTAACCCTTTGTGCAACAGAAAAGAATGTGAGCTCACCAAATGGAAGCTTCTCTTGGGCCTAAGGGACAAAGAAAGAGCCCAGAAACCCAGCCCTTCTCTGGCCACCCACCACCCCAAACTGGCCTATCTTCTGCCCCCCAAAGTCTAGTTGCCTTGTGAAAACTCAGAACAAACTACACCTTAGACCTAGAAGTAGAGGCAGAGCTGGAACCCTCCATCTGATTCCAAAGACTTGCCCAAGACACTCCTCCACCAGGGTATGCCATTCCCAACCTGCCATCAGGTCACTTGTTAAACTAGAGCCCGGGGCCCCCAGCCACCCAGTGCTGTTCATATCCCCCAGCCCCAGTGTGTGAGGGCCATCTTCCCCAGGGTGAGTCTTCAAGTGCCCCTGCCAGGGCAGTGGGAGGACAATTCGTCCTCATCCCCATCTCACTCCATTCTCTTCGGGCCTGGTTTCCTGGTTTCTGGCCTGCTTCCCTTCCAGAACCAGGTTCCTTGCTCAGTAAGCACTACACTCGACCTTCAGAGGCCATTCTGTAAGCGTCCACAGAGCCAGTGAGTGGATGAATGAAGGCAGAGCTCAGCCACTCAGCAGAGGGGCCATGAGGCTGGGGAACAAGCAGATCTGAGGAGGAATTAACCCTTTCTTTCACTTTCCCCAGGGGCCTGCAGCCGCCCAGCCCTTAGGAGCCTGGTTCATATCACCACCAACTGAAGTCATGTGGACCCACACACCACAAGGGGAGGTAACTTCCTGGTAGTGTCCCCTCCTTTTCTCCTGTCCCTGTTAAACCCGACCAGCTTCCACCATGCTCTGTACACAGCTTGAGGAATCCAGGCACAAACAGCCCCCCCCGGGGGGGGGGGGGGGGGGGCTCAGACCACTGAAGAACTTTTTATTGCAAAGGAGGAGTCCCAGGGAAAGAGGAGTCGGGGGGTAGGTCAGAGGAGCAGGGTACTGGGTCCAGGTAAGCCACCAAGCCTCCCCAGTGGCACAGGGTCTCGGCTGTCTTCACCCAGGGGCAGGGCAGTGACCATTCCAAGTTAGCTAGATTCCAAGACTTTCTGCTCTGGGGTGAGGCTGGGGGCTGGGGAGTGACCATGATGGAAAGATGAAGTGAGGTCCAGTTCCGTAGGAGGGGGCGTCTGAGGCACAGGGTCAAGTCCTTGGGGGCAGGAGCTAGGGGTCTTTGACTTCTCCACAGCTGGGCAGAAACGTTCAGCATCCGCGGGTGCCGCGGCAGCCTAAACCGCCGAGGCAGGCGAGGGAGCCGCAGAGCGCGCAGCCGCCGCCAGGGGCGCCCGTCCGTAGGGCGCCGGAATCCGCTCCGGGAGGCAGCGGGCGGGCGGGGCCCGAGGCTGAGCCGAGTCCGCAAGTGGAAGCGTTGCCCAGCGCTGAGAAGACAGTGGCTGTCGGGGACAGGAAGCCCTCTTCTCCCGCTCCGCCCCCGAAGGCAGACAGACAGACTCCTCTCCAAGAGGGCAGATGCAAAGACCCTCCTCCACCCCCACAGGAGACAGGCGCAAACTCCCCAAAGTAATAATACACAGACCCCTTCCCCCAAGAAATAGACTCCAGAATGCCCCCTCCCTGGAGTCGGACACACACAGATTCTCCCACGCCAGAATGAAACAGTCTCCTCCACAAGGACAGACCCACAGAAGCTCCTCCCACTGCCCAGGACAAACCAACAGAACCACCCCCCCAAAGGACAGACCACCAGACCTCCTCCCCAGCACACAAAAAGAATTACTCCCAGGAGAAGGAACAGACCCCCAAAAAGAGAGACACAGTGGAAGCAGACCCCTCTCCCTTCCCAAAAGAATACCCCCAAAGAAGAGGGGCTAAGATTTGACTTCCCTAACCCAATCCGGGTCTAAGATTTACTTACAGAAGCTCCCTGCCCCGAATCCCAGACCAAGCCTGCAGGGGAGAAGGAGGAAGCAAGTGAGTGAATATACCTCCTGGGTATAATAACCCCCAGCCTTTAAAACAAAACTCTCCTGGCTTTCCCCAACAGGAAGAAATCCCTCCATCCTGCATGCTCCCGGTTCTCTCAGATCACCACAACCCTTTTGCTTCACATTCCTCAGGACTTAAACTTAATCCTTCCTCCTTAAATTCAGATAGCTCGGTTTTACTGATGACTTCCTGGAGGAGGGGGAAGGCTAGAGATCTTTCTTCAGCCTAAACGTAGCCTAAAAGAAGAAACCATGAAGGGGGACATTTTGAAGGACACTACAGAGAAAATAGCTCAACCACCTGAAGAGTACTGGTCGAACCTCATCCAGTCACTTTCTACCTGTGAGGCCTTGAGATGGTCTTTTACCCCGAGACTCGGTTTCCCCATCTGTAAAATGGGAATGACAGCACTTCCCTCCCACGGGTTTTGTGGGGTTGAAAGGAGAGAATAAGTGCCGGCTGCCTGATGCATGGTGGGTTCCCTTTCCCTCCCCTCGGCCTGGAGAACCCAGCTGCAACCGGCAGCCCTTGGATCTCTGCTGTCTAAGATTAAAAGCCATAAACCATGCCTTCCCCATAAACCATGCCTTCCCCAGGACTGGGGGAAGAAGGGCAGAACCGAGGAGAAGGCGAGGAGACCCTTAGTCCCCCCGGCTGGGCCTTGGTCCTTGCAACTGTCTAGATGGACAGACTGACCCCGGCTCTCTGCTCCTGCAGGTGAATGACTTCACAAGTTGTCCCATCCCAGGTGCCAAAGGTGCTCATCAGCTGGAACATTTTGTCTTAAGGGCCTCAAGTTGGTGGGGAGAAACTGGCTCCAGGAGAACAAGTCCCTGGATACCCAGGTCGTCTCTTCCCACCCCTCTCCAGCTGGCGAGGACCCAGATAGTGACCTCCCTGTGTCCCTGCCCTCCTCACCATGGCCACATCCAAGGCACTGGCCAGACCTCACCTGCTCTCCTCGCCCTCCAGCAGCTTGCGGTAGGTGGCAATCTCAAAGTCCAGGCCCAGCTTGACGATCATGAGATCCTGGTACTCACGCAGCTGGCGGACCATGTCGTGCTTGGCTCTCTGCAGGGCAGCCTCCAGCCAGGCCAGCTTGCCCTGGGCGCTGTCTGAGGCACCCTCCTCCGGCAGAGCCCGTGGCTCCGTGCCTCTGTCTAGTTCACAGGGCTGGGGGCAAAGGAAGACCACGGACAAGACATCCTTGGTCCCCACCCTCCCCCACATCGAGGATCCAGACCTTTCTCAGAGGTTGGAGAGTGAGTGAGGGATTAGAGATCATTGTAAGGAATGGGTGATCCTGGTCTGAAAAATGGATGTGTGTGTGTGTTGTGTGTGTGTGTGTGTCTGCTTGGCTCCCAGGATGGAGACTTGGGGCCAGCCATCTGAGCGGGCTGAGAGAGAACCTTTCACACCTACCGTGTGACTTTTCTAATAGGAGCTCGGATCCAGGAAGCATCCAATGCTCCCGAAGACCTCATTAGCATTCCATCAGGAAAATTAACCAGAAGAATATCCTTTCCTCATAGGAAACTAGCATCTGTAGTGTCTGGGGAAATTCAGCGATGATGATGATGATGATGGTGATGCTGATGATGATGACGATGATGATAAACACTTGCCTTTTGAGGTGTGTTTGCTGCTCAGGAAACTGGGGTGGGAGGGGTGGGAATCAGAACGGCTGAGGCGGGTGGGAGACTGAACCGTGACAGGGTCACCCCCTGGAACCTGAACAGCCATCCGTTCCTGAATAAAGGCGAGCCCCTCAAAGCCTGAGATACTTGTACCTGCAGAAAGCCCTTCCCTCTGCAGGTAGAGCAAGAGCCGGGGCCTCAACGGGGCTGCTGGGGGGAAAGAGAGAAGGATGAGAGACAGAGAAGTGGGGAGAAAGAAAGCATTCATGTGGGAACCTCTCCTTTCTCAGGTCTCGAGCCTGAGCCACCAAACCGAGTGCCTAACGGAAGCCCGGTTAGAGGCATCAAAAGGTAAAGACCAAATGTTAGCTGTATAGCGAGTGTCCCGTGCCATGAAGAAGTATGCACAGTCTCATTCTCCTGCAACCACCAGGACCTCTTGCACATTTAAGTCTCTTAAGTTTCTCGAATTTAGAGACACGGGTCATGTGCCTGTCTTCCACAAGGATAATAACAGTGCCGGCCAAGATGATGGTCAATGGCAGAGAGTCCTCTGGCTCTGTGTTAAAGGAATCAACTTGGGGCGGTGGGGTCTGGGGCATGCAAGTGAAGGCAACAGAGAAGACAGAAACCTCTCTTCTCTAGCCAAACGTCGCTAAATCTGCACATTTTTGAAGAGGACCCAGAACGCTGGATTTCTAGGAAAAATCTTGCTATTTCTGAAGACGGGCTCAAGTTTAATGTTACGTAGGACAAACATAACACACAGACACAAAAATGTACAACACATAAAAAGTGATATGCAAACAAGCATACATAGGATACATATTTACCTACATGTTAATTACTTGCCCACATGAAAGACAGAGAGTCCTAGGCAAATGCAGGCACACTTCCATTTGCTCAGACACTCACAAGGAGAAACTCTATCCACCTACTCCAGAGGGTAGGGGATGACCAACTAGTTGTCACAGATAATGGACACCCTCCTACCATTCCTCACACCACTGCTGCCCCCACACCGCCACCCCTCACCTGACTCTTAGCACTGTCCACCTCCGCAGTCAGCCGCTGGATGGCCTGGTTGAGCCTGTTCAGCTCCTCCTTGCTGTGCCTCAGGCTCTGCGTGGGTTTCTGCACGGTCGCCTGTACCTCCTCGCACTGCGGGGTGGGGTAGAAGCAGCACAGGGAGGCTCAGGGAAATGAGGAGAGCTGACAAGGCCATCAGCTGAAGCTGGCAAGACAGTCCCAGTACCAACCCCTCCACCATCCATCATGGACAGATCCTCTAACTTCTCCAGGCCTCTGTTTCTGCATCTGTAAAGTGAGGACGGTAATCTTTTCTATCTCCAAGGGTTGTGTAGAGAATGAAATGCTCTTGGCAGGTGCCCTGGCGGGCACTCTATCAGGTCTGGAACTGCCTAAAGTAACGGGAGCAGAGGGCACAAACGATCCCCACGTGTGGTGACATTCTGTTGAGTCTGTGGACTGGCATCACATAGGGCTTATTCTGAGCATTGAGGTAATTAAACTTCAGGAACTCGGTTATGGTCCTTCACCACATGTGATCACCTCAACTAATAGAAAAACCACTTTTAAAAACCCAGCAGGGATTCCTAATTTTAAAAATACTTTTAAAAATCTAGGAATGGGGAGAAACTTCCTTAACTCGATGAATGCTATTAGTAGTGACAGGGATCCCGATTCCAGCTCTTTCCCCAAAACTAGGGCCACTATGTAGAGTACTGTTTGCAAGGGACAAGACCAGTGGGCCTTTCCCCTTCCTGTGCCTTGTACCCGAATGCTGGTCCATAACCAGCCTGGGCTCGGGACCATACATGGTGCCTTATACCATTCAAGGTCCTTCATTTCCACCATCTCACTGGGGCTCATGACCACCTATGAAGAAGGCCGGGTGGATGTCACGGTCTCCATTATCTTGCCCTGAGCGAGCTGAGTCTCACTACATCTGCCGAGTGAGAAAGTAGGGACCCAGCAGGCTGTGAGTGAGCCTGCCAGTCAGCAGCTGAGCTAGACTGCATTTGAAGCCCATGCCCTTTGCTCTACACCCGGAGGAACACGAAGCCACACACTCTTTAACCAGGGAACAGGCACTGTTCACACCAGCCCAGCCCCAGCTGCTTTCCAGGGCAGATGGGGAGTGGGAAATGGATATGAAACAGACAGCAAGAAACGTCATCTCCCCTCTATGTCTGCCCTGGTCCCGTAGCCCACCTTTTCCTGCTCCCATTCCCAAAAGCTGCAGACACAACAGACAAGCTTGAGCCCGGCTGGGTCCAACAGATCTGGGCAGAGTCTAAGACTTCTCACCCCATGTGACGCAGTGCGCCACGTGGACGAGTCTCACCATGATGAAGAGAGCTGTCGTCTCCTCCAAGCCTCAGGTGAGCGCCAAAGCCCAGCTCCAGTCCAAGCAGCTCCCAGAATCCTTGCTTCTGAGGACGTAGTCTCTCCTTCCAGGGGGCTTTGTGACCTCACTTTGTTATAATTGCAGAATTCTGACAGGGGCTGGAGGGGCTGTTCTGTCAGCCCGGGTGGAAGCGTGGCGGTCCCGTCTTGAAGGAAGGAGGAGGAGAGGGAAGGAAGGGTCCTTCAGGTGGGGGAAATGTGTGGAGCCAAGTAGTTTGGGCGAATGGAGTGAGAAATGGGGAGCAGTTAATAAAAGTAATCGTTGCGTACCCACCCGTAGCTTCGGAACTCCACATGGGACTCTTCCTGATCACAGCATCCTCTGTCTCTGACCCCATCCGATCTCCAAAGTAGCCACCATCCTGGGCTTTTGTATTAAGCATTCCTTGGCTGTTCTTTATTGCCATGTGCATAGGAAACCCTAAGCAATTGGTTAGTTCTGCCTAACTTTAAACTTTATAACAGTAGAGTTACACATTCTATGACTTGCTTTTCCCTCCCTAACATTGTTTGTGAGATTTTGAAGCATGTAACGTTAGTAGGTTAGTTAGTTAGTTAGTTAGTTAGTTAGTAGTTTTCATTGTCATGGTTCTTTCTCCATTCTCCTACAGGTATACACGCATGGGTACTTTGGTTTTTGTGCTAATACCGCTGGTAGGAGCTTTTAGGTATGTTATCTGTTGCTGTGCTTCGACAAGAGGTTGTTTAGGGTACTGGCTGTGAAACCTTTTTTTTTTAAATATTTTATTTATTTATTCGACAGACAGAGATCACAAGTAGGCAGAGAGGCAGGCAGAGAGAAAGGAGGAAGCAGGCTCCCTGCTGAGCAGAGAGTCCGACGTGGGGCTCAATCCCAGGACCCTGAGATCATGACCTGAGCCGAAGGCAGAGGCTTTAACCCACTGAGCCACCCAGGTGCCCCTGTCAAACCATTTTTTAACCATAACTCAAAATAAGAAATACATTTGATATCGTGGATCAGTACCCACATACATATTCACGCCCAAAAGCGGAAATAAGTTTCGTGAAGAACTTCTCACTCCTGTGTACGATGTCCTCTGAACCCCTAACCACTCACCTTAACACGCTCTTCCACTCTGAATTTATGGCCTTAGGTTTTAGGGAAGACTTTCTGTTTAGGTTTTTCTGTTTTATCTTTAGGTTTTCAATTAGGCCTTCTGTTGAGGTTTCATGTCTTATAAATAGTATATTGATTTTATTATCTAATACTATAATGAAAATGAAGTACCCAGGAGACCACTTAGAAGCACAAAAGCCAAACGTTGCTAGTAATTTACATGTGCCTGCACACTCTGTCCCCAGACTGTCCCCTACTCCTTCTCTCTCTAGGGGTGAACCCTTCCTTGAATTTGGGTCATTATACCCTTGCTTTCTTTTCTTCCAGTTTTATCACACACATGTGTTATCAGTTTTCCTTGTTTAGTTGAGGTTTGGTTTTGGGTTTTTTTTAAAGATATAACTTACAAAGGAAGGTTTTTTTGTTTTTTTGTGTGTTTTTTTGTTTTAATTAAAGAGGAGTCCTCTGCTAGGATTCATAGCATCTTATTAAGTGAATACACAATACTTTATGTAACTCTGTTATTGTTTTGTTTTGTTCTATTTTCTCTTACAAAGATGGTCCTATGAATATTTTTCTGAATGTTCCCTGTTGGGCATATGTGAGGATTTCTCTGTGTTACATGTCTAGGACTGCAGTTTCTGGATCAAATGTTCAATAATACAAGACAAAAATTATTTTCCAAAGCTGCTGTAATAACAATTTAGACTTTGATCAGATTTCAGATTCATATCTTTTCTGACACGTCTTAATTTTTAATAATGAAAGGATATAATCAGTTTTATTTTTGGTTTTGCTTTGCATTTTCAGAGTCCTATCGAGGCTGAATATCTCTTTAAATGTTTATTATCTCTATGGATTTCCTTTTCTTTTGCCATTTTTCTTTTGGGTTGTTTGCCTTATTTTTATTAGATTCTAAGTACTTTTATATTTCTATATAAATCTCTTATTTCTATATATTATACTTTGTCACTTACATGTATCATGAATATCACCTTCAAGTTTATGGCTTGTCTTTTCACCTTGTCCCTACTTGATGAATAAAAGTTCTTAATTTCAATGTCTACTTTACCCACCTTTTCCTTCATATTAAGCATTCAGTGTGCCTTGCATAAAAATCCTTTCTTATAGGGGCGCCTGGGTGGCTCAGTCCATTGAGCCTCTGCCTTTCGCTCAGGTCATGATCCTGGGGTCCTGGGATCGAGCCCCACGACAGCACCCTGCTCAGTGGGGAATCTTCTTCTCCCTCCTCCCTCCTGCTTGTGCTCTCGTGTTCTCTCTCTTCCTCTCAAATGAAGAAATAAGAACTTAAAAAAAATCCTTCCTTATACCAAGGTCAAAAAGAATTCACCAGTTTTTTCTTCTAAAACTTTTAAAAGTCTTGCATTTGACATTTATAATTTGAATTGACTTGGAATTGATTTTGTGTATAATAGAAGGCAGGATTCCAGTTCCATTTGTTTCCCATGCATATAACCAATGCATAGTCCCTCCTTTACTACTGATCTTCACGGTCACTGCTGTTGCATATCAAAGATACAGACATAGATATATAAAGTATATCTATAACTATATATTACATATAACGTTAGTTGTACATTCACACATGATGATGTATGACTCTCAGGCTCATGACCCTGAGATCGAGACCTGAGCTGAGGTCAAGAGTCTGGCACTCAGGGTGCCTGAGTGGCTCAGTCGGTTAAGCATCTGCCTTTAACTCAGGTCTTGATGTTGGAGTCTGGGAATGGAGCCTCACATAGGCTCTCCGCTCAGCGGGGAGGCTGCTTCTCCCTCTGCCTCTGCCCCTCCCCCTGCTCATGCTCTCTCTCACTCTGTCTCTCTCTCAAATAAATAAAATCTTTAAAAAAAAAAGAATCAGACACTCAACCAACTGAGCCACCCAGGTGTCCCATCATATATTACATTTATATATACTTAACATATTTAATATATTTATATAATATATACACAAAAGAATAGACAAATGATCAATAGAACAAACTAGATAGCCCCTAAATTGACATATATTATGTATTTTATATACATAAAATACATGTTTATAATACATGATGTGTTTTATATATAATGTATGTTGTACCATATCTATATTTATATGCTATACATATTATATATTATACATATGTGTGTGCCTATGTGTGTATGCAATATTATATATTATAATTAAAATATTGTACGTAAAACATACCTGATATGTATATAATATATGCTATATTTTATATATAATATATGTCAATTGAATTTTGAATATGAATGCGATCTAACTCCTCATTTAGTTAGAGCTTCTTTGTTATCTTTCATTTAGTATAATGTTTATATTTCTTTAGATATACGTCTTTCAAACTATCATACGATCTCCCTGATATGAGGAAGTGGAGATGCAACATGGGGTGGTTGGGGGGTAGAAAAAGAATAAATGAAACAAGATGGCATCGGGAGGGAGACAAACCATAAGAGACTCTTAATCTCACAAAACAAACTGAGGGTTGCCAGGGGGGAGGTGATAGGGAAAGGGTGGTTGGGTTATGGACATTGGGGAGGGTATGTGCTATGGTGAGTGCTGTGAAGTGTGTAAGCCTGATGATTCACAGACCTGTACTCCTGGGGCTAAAAATACATTCTATGTTTATAAAAAAATAAAAATAAATTATAAAAAAAATTTTTAAAAAGATACATCTTTCACATATTTGTTAGACTGGGTTTTTAAGTCATTTTATTAATCTTTATTATTGAGAAAAATAACTATTAATATTAATTATTAATAATAAAATAATCAATAAAATAATTAGTATTTCTTATTCTATTCTATTATTAATTTATTGATATAAAAAATACACACTATAAAAGGCACACATATCACACAGTCCGACATGTTTTGACAAAATGCATGCCCCATTTAACCACAACTGAATGAATGTACAGAACATTTTCACCATCTCAGAAAGTTCCCTCTTCTCCCTTTGCAGCCCATCTCCCCACCCCACTCCAGACAACCACTCACCCAATTTCCATCACCATAGGTTCGTATTGCCACTTCTAGAACTTCATTTGAATAGAAGCAAACATTCAGTACGTGCTGTTTTGTGTCTGACTTTTTCACTCAGCACAATGTTTTTAAGGCTCATCCATGTCATTTCTTGAATTAGTAGGTCATTCTTTTGTATGTCTGGGTCATGTTCTGTTGTATAAAAATATCTCAGTTTTGTTTGTCCATCCACCTGTTGTTTCCGATTGGGGGCTATTCTAAATGAAGCCCCTATGAGATTCATGTACTAGTCTCTATGTAAACCTACTTTTCATTTCTTTTGAACAAATTCAAGAGTGGAATTGCTTTGTCCTTTGGTAGTATATGTTTAACTTGATAAGAAATTCCCAAACCATTTGCCGAGGTGACCGTACCATTTCATTCCCCGTGAATGCTCCAGCTGCTCCACACTTAGTATCCTCGGTCTCTTAAATGTTAGCCTTCTCGTGGCTGCTGGATTTTTCTCATAGCAAATTTCCCTGATGACTAATAATGATGAGCAAGCTCCCATGGGGCTTTGGCCCTTAATACATCTTCTTTTGTAGAGTGTTGATTGAAATCTTTTGCCCGTTTTCACTGAATTGTTTGTCTTCCTGTTTTGAGGGGTTAGTTTTTAACATAAACACCTCATGTAATTATTATGTGATTGGATTTGAGTCAGCCATCTTGTTTTTTGTTTCTTATTTGTCTCAGGTGAGACAATTGTCCTCCTCTTCTTTTGTTCCTTTCTGCTTGCTTTTGAGTTAATCAAATACTTTTAAATACTTAACATTATTTATTCTATTAAAATATCTTATTTTGGGGTCACCCAGATGGCTCAGTCGGTTAACTGTCTGCCTTTAACTCATGATCCTAGAATCCTGGGATAAACCCTGCATCAGGCTTCCTGCTGGGCAAGGAGCCTGCTTCTCCCTCTGCTCCTCTGCCTCCCCCCTACTCGAGCTCTCTCTCTTTCTCCTCAGTCTTTCTCTCTCTCAAATAAATAAATAAAATCTTTTTTAAAAAACAAAAATTTTTTAAATGTTTTATTTTTATTTATGATAAAAAATATTTGTTTTTAGTGATTATTCTAGAACTAAAACTATACATCCTTAATTATCAGAGTCTATTTGGAATTAATACTGTGCTACTCCATACTTCATGACAGTGTAATTCATTGGCCCACCTCCCCATCATCTGTGTCATCATTGCCAGATCTTTTCCTTCAACAATGTTATAAACAATATCATTATTTTTGCTTTAAACAGCCAGTTGTCTTCTTGGCCACTACAAGAGTTCTTGGATCAAATATGAAGAGTATTCCTTCAAATATTTTCCCACATCATTCTCACCCTTTTCCTTCTAGAACCCCAAGTATGCATATGACAGATTATTCGATACTGTCCCACAAGTCTCCAAGCTCTGTTAGTTTTTCTTTGATCTTTTCTTTCTGTTGTTCAGATTGGAAAATTTTTACTCATCTGTCTTCAGTATACTGACCCTACCCCCTGACATCTTCAATCTTTCATTAAACCCATTCATTGAACTTTTCATTTCAATGATTATACTTTGCAATTCTGGAATTTCCATTTTGTTCCTCTTTCTAACTTGTCATATCTTCTTGCTAGCTCCATGGTGCATTAAAATATATTTTTTAAGTATATTTTTCAGAACTGTAAGTGACTTATGACAAAAGGGTTTTCCAGAGGTCCTAGTCTGACATTTTGCAAGGAAAGAAGTTCCTGGTGGCATTTTTCAAAGGAAAAAAACAGGTATATTTCTGTGACTCTTTGGGTGGGGAAAATGGTATCAAAGGGTTTGAAGCTGGAGTGTTGGAAAGAACTGGTAGAAAGAGGCTAAGCTGACAAGTGGGCATCAGTACAGGGGGAAACAACGAGGTGATTTCAAGGCATTTTGAATTCCCAAAATCAGTGCAACATTTAAGTGGAGATGCCCTGTGGGAAACTGGAAACCTTAGAGATGAATTCATTTATTCTCTTAACATTTCTCAGGGCCCACTACAAGCGAACACTGAGCCAGACATATTCTGACACTGGAGCATTCCCTCTGGAGCCCTGAGCCATTATAACACCCCTCCTCAGTGTCTCCAACCTTGACACTCACTTGAATAAATAGCTGAAATGACCTTAGCACATTGAATGTCCTCCTAGAAATCCCACCCACCCTTTCCAGGACAGAAAGAATGTACAGAAAGATAAAAAGCATGACAGGAACCATGTGACTTTAAGCACTGACAGCATGGAGGGAAGGAAGACCTAGGAAAGGAAGGGATTAGCAAGAGTTCAGAGGCAGGTCAGGGTGAGGGATGGGAGCTGAGGGACAGTCCTTTTCAGGAGTCAGGCAGCCCAGATTCCTCCAACAGAACATACCATGTGCCTCTCCTCCCAATATCCTTCCTTGGCCTGAGGGAGACAGGAGACAAGGAGGAGGACTCCCACACAACAAGAAATAAGAAGTGGACAGCATGGGAGATGGCCCACGGTGAGATCAAAAGGTTATACCCTACTTCCATGGCGGGTTGAGTAGAGGGCCAACTGGGGTCCTCAGGGAGGGTATGAGGGCTGGGGGCCTGTTGTTCCATCAAGCCCAGCCAGCTTGATACTTTTTAGAGCTGCTGTCACAAACTCCTATCCCACAGCACCTGATGCCACAGGAACGGATGACTGAGAGGTCCCCACGTACAGATCCAGCCGAGAGCTGCTCACACCACAACAGCACAGGGATAGTAAGAAGTCCAAACCATTGGCGGCGGTGTGGAGCTGGTCCCAAACAGCCAGCCTTCACCACCTAGAACCCCTCCCCACCAGCCAAGAGCACCCAGATGGATGGGATGTCTCCTGCTTATCCACCAACAGTAAAGAAAGCCAACAGAAGCTTCCCTGTGGCCTGTTCCCCAGACTCCCACACTTTACTGGGAGTCCACCTTGTGGTTTAATCTTAATCCCTTCTTAATCTATTCTTCTGCCACTGACTTCAAGAAGATCTGCCTGGTGACAACCAAGCTGATGAAACACCTGCTTTAGTCCATCTAACGTCAGTTTAGTGACATCTTGAATGTGGACAAGTGTGCTTGGCCAGGGAGAAAATGTGAGCTTCCTAACAACGGGAAAGTAAGATTTGCACGTCAACAGGCGTGGGATGAGGAACTGGTCCACTCACGACCTGCCATCCAGCTTCTTCTTCGTCACTGTGGGACAAGGAAAGAAGGAAACCCCTTCTCCCTGGGTCTCTCCACCCTCAGAGCTAGAATGTTCTTCCCACTGTCTAATATTTTACACATTTCTAGCCCAACCTTCATGAAGCCGCAGTCAGCCAGGACGGAAGAGATTACACACTGAAATTGGCAAGCACTGTAAAAGGGCATTTTCTTCCCCACAAGAGCTGGTTCTTAAACGTTTACCAGCAAGCCGCTGTCCCTAACGAAATCATACAAGAGGCGTGTTAGAAATCAGGTGGTGTGGGACACCTGGGTGGTTTAGTCGGTTAAGCTCCTGCCTTCAGTTCATGTTACTGTCCCAGGGTCCTGGGATCAAGTCCCGCATCAGCCTCCCTGCTCAGCAGGGAGCCTGGTTCTCCTTCTGCCTGCTGCTCCCCCTGCTTGTGTGCGTTCTCTCTCTGACAAGTAAATAAATAATATCTGAAAGAAAGAAAGAGAGAAAGAGAAAGAAAGAAAAGTAAGGAATAAATAAATAAATCAGGTGGTGGACCTCAGCTAAAACTTTTCTCCTTAGCCTCTCCTCAGGGCTGGGAGGGGCCCTGAAAAGTTTCCAAGATGGCAGCAAAAGAAATGGACAATGGAGAAGTCCTGGAGCAAAACAGTGCATCAGGCCCAGTGAATCTGCCACAGCGGTGAGGGCTGTGCCCACCTGTGCTCCTTGCCTTCCAGCAGCCGCCTGTAGGTGGCGATCTCGATGTCCAGGCCCAGCTTGGAGTTCATCACCTCCTGGTACTCCTTGACCAGGCAGGCCATGTCCTGCTTGGCCTTCTGCAGGGCGGCCTCCAGCTCCACCAGCTTGCAGCGGGCATCGCTCAGAGCAGTCTCGCCCTGTTGCTCAGCCTGGGTCACTGCGGCCTCCAGCTTGGTGTTCTGGGGACCCAGAGGAGAACAAGGTGGGTTATGGCCTGGGTCTCTCTGTCCATTTCCTGTCTCAGCCGTCCCCCAGCTGGGAGCACCCCAAGAGCAGGCCTCTCCCTTTCATCAGCTGAGTCTCCCCCAGGGACTACAACCAGGGACGCTGGTCGTGCAGATGGCCTGGAGCATGAATGGTGAGATCCACTGGGGACACACACTGCCTGCGTGGCCTGGGGAGGCCGCGGGTGACCCTTACCTGGCACTTGGCATTCTCAACCTCGGCCATCAGCCTCTGGATCATGCAGTTGAGCTCGCTGATCGCCTCCTTGGTGCGGCGCAGGGTCTCCCTGTGCCAGATCACCATGGCCTTCATCTCCTTACACTGGGGGGGTGGGGGGTGGGGGAAGCAGAGATGTTCCTGAGGCTCAGGATGCAGTTTCTCACCCACCCAGACACCACAGACCATTGGCAGGTTGTACAGTGCTCAGCCTGTGAGACCATACGTGACAGTCCTGCCCAACCACTATAACCTGAGAGCTGTCTGCCCTCCTGTTGCCGTCCAAGAGATCATAATACATGACAAAAGAGGCCTCATTATTATACACCTGGCTTTCTGCCCACTGCCATGTCTAGGAGACAAGTGTCCTGCGCCCCTCTCCTTACCAGGACTCAGCCTCAGCCTGACTCCATCTGGCAGTGTCATCATGGTTGGCCTAGGTCTCAGTCACAGTGCAGCGCATGTTCAGGTCCCGGCTGTTACTCATCTGGATGATGACCGAGGTGTCCGAGATGTGGACGCGGAGGACCCTCATGTCCTGTGGGGCCAACAGCCATCCACATCACCTATACCATCCAGAGCTAGGTAGAACAAAGCTCACATTCCCCCTTCAGACACACACATATCACAGAGCCACCATATCCAACACCCTCATGTCTGAGACCCCTCTGTCTGTTTCCTCTGTACAAAGGCTGACCTGGGATAGAGTGAACAGGGATGGATGATGGGCCCCTGCTGGTGCTCACCTGTCACACATGGAGCTCGGGAGGGAACACCATCTCCTCCACCAGCCTGCGGGCATCGGCCTCCAGCTCTCCCTCAAGCACATAGGTGCAGTTACCCTCCTGGAAACAGTGTTCAGGTGGTTCCTTGTGGTTGCAGAGATTTTCCAGGGGACCCTATCTCCCCAGTCCAACCCTGGAAATTTTCTTATCCCATTGCCAGCCCTGCAAAGCAAGTCGGAGGCATAGATCCAGAAACCAAGGGATGGAGAACTAAGCTCTCCCTTCTGCTCTAGCAAAACGTAGTATGAGACTTTGGGGAGTTCTTTTATCTCTCTGGGCCTCTCTGTAGAGGAAGATGCAGAGAATTCCTGCCCTGTGGATCTCCTGGGGTGTGAGAAGGAAAATGCCCTTCCATGGGCGGAGATAAAATATGAGCGCATTAACCAAAGGAGAGAGTACTGGGTGCCCCTGAGGGCGGCCACAGGCAAGCCACTCACTTCCTTGATTCTGACAACCCCATTCTCTGCCATGATTCCCAAAGTAACCTCTTCTTCATACTTCCACAGGGAAAGAGCTTTGGTACAGGAGAATTTTTCAGAGATTTGGCTGGTAATGCCAGGGAGGGAAGACCACCCCCAACATGACCTATTCTGCCCCCCCCCTCCCCCAGGATGCCTGAAAGATCCCTCTCACCCACATCCCTAATAGTACATTTCTCTACCTTAAATAAGCATTACTCATTTTAAAGGTCCTGAGTCTTTTTTTTTTATTACTCTAATATAATAAGCTGATTGCCTGAGCTTGGGTCTGGGACGGTGGGTGGAATTAACAGCATGAGCCGTTGAGTGTGAACAGCAGACCAAAGGTGGTCATGGCTTTTCAGCCCTAGTACCCGGCATACTTCTGGAATAGAGTAAGTGCTCAGAACAGGTCCCGGGGATAGATGGATGAGTCAGGAGACAGCCCCTGTCCTGAGGTCATAATGCCATGGAAAGGCTCTTAGCTGGTATGTCAGCTTCTCTTCCTTTCCTGGGTCTGCCTGTCACTGCCTCTAATGCTGATAAAAACACAAAGTGGGTTAACGAAGGAAGACGTTTCCAAGGCCATTTGGTTCGGTGGCTTCCAGTTGTCATATCATGTAACCCCTTCCAAGAAAACAGACCTTCCCCCACCAACTCCCTTCTTGTAGCCCTCCAGCCCCTCCTGCACTTGGTTAGGGGCAGGGGACTGTGTGACACAGCAAGGCGACTGGCCCAGGGACCGTGCAATGTGCAGCCTGAACTGTATCTTTGAGCGGTCCTAAGGGAACTGGATTTGAGGACTCCATTGGGGCGCTAATCCAAGCTGATCCACAGGCTATGGTGAGCCAGGCTAGAAGAGATAAAGCCAGAGGAAGAAGAGGATTCTGACCCCTCCTTCACTGCCCCTCCCTTTTAGAAACCCACACATCTGGGTCCACCTGCCTCACCCAGTAGAGTGACCATGTTGTCACCTTTATGGGCTTGAGGGATATCACAGCCATTTTCCTCTTTTCCGGGGTAATATCGTCGAGATGGGGCTTTAGAAAATCCTACACTCAGGCAACTCTGAGGCCTTGAGAGCATTTCTTCCACAGTTGGGGGCCTGACGTTGCCCAAAAGAATCCAAGTCAGCCAAAGCCTGTGGACTCCACACTTGGTGAGATAATTCAAGAGGGGAAGGGAATCTGGGTTGGGACGGTTTCTTTCAGGGGACCCTGGAAGCTTCGAGGGGGAAAAACATTCCAGGGGATCCATGGGCAAGGCTTCAGAGGACAGGTTTCCAAGGCAACCCATGATAGTTGACCCTTGGCCGGGCGAGGAGACTGTGTATACTCCTACCAAGACACGGCAGTCAACCACACAACCAAAAAGGTATTTGCTCAGCTACTTCATGCCACAGGACCCATGAAGTTTGTGGATGTGGGGGTGGGAGGGTTCCAAATATCCAGATACCCAAAACCCACCACCTGCCTGTTCACCTCCACCCCTTCCTGGGGTCCCTTTAAGATTTCTCATTCCCCACCCAATACAGTGTCTCTCCCAGCTAAACCACAAGTTCAGGGCCACACTCTCTAGACAGTCTCCTTCAAAGGGCTCCCTCTGGAGACATTCTCAGAAGAGTCAGCTCCATCCACCCACCAAAACCCAGAAAGAGGTCCCAACAAGCATTACATAAGGGCCTCCGAAAATCTAATTTAAGTCATCCATGCTTCAAGGTAATTCCATTTCCTCTAGGGAGGGAGACACCACAGGAAGACGTCTCCAATACTTACTACTGTTCCCTGCAGAACACTGGAGTAGGAATGCCTTCTACTGAAGCCATCAGTCCCACCACGGGCCGCCCTAGCTAAAGCTGGGCATGGGAGCACAAGACACCTTGGTCTTGGACTTCACCTTCCACAGAGGACGGCACTGAGGTTGGGATGAAGCCCCTGCGAAGTCAAGGCTAGACCAAAGGCATTCAAGTCCACCAGAGTGTTGGGAAAGACAGCAGAGGGGACCGAGGGGCACTCACCGGAAATAGGGTGCCCAGCAGAGGTGGCCATGATGACTTCTGGAGTTCCAGGATTTAATTACCCTTTGCATAATAACAACTTATATTTAAAAGCAAAGGAAGCTAAGGATGATTTGCATGTTTTTCTTTAATGCTGCCTGCTGAGTTCACATTCTAGTTTCCTCTGTCCGTAATTGGACATATAATTAACTTCCATTATAATGGATCATGGCCTTCTAGAGTTGGTGGCCATGACCAAGCACCAGTGGAGGGGAAGGCTTCGGATTGGGCCTATTGTTCTAAGAGCCCAAAGCCCAACAGTCTGGACTCCTGCCCAGGAGAACTCAACCCCCTCACCCCTACCCCCCCACCCCTCCACCCCCACCAAGCCCCCAAAGACTCAGACCTTCAGAGAGGCCAGTGTGAGAGAGGGCTGAGAGCCTCCTTTCAGATTCTGAATCCCCTCCTCTATAGAGCTTTCTGTGTCTGACCTTAAACAAGTCATTGAACCACTCTGAGCTCACCTTCCCAGTCAGGTAAATGGGCACAATAACTCTGACCTGCGAAGGACGCCCTGAGGGTAAAGATAAGATAATGCATTATAGAGCCCTCACACACTATAGGCACTGGATTGATGCAGGAGAGGGATACAAGAAGCAGTTTAAGGGACTGGGGGATGGGGGCAAGACACACGGAGAGAAGCTATGAGCTCTGAGAAAGAGAGAAGAGAAAGTTCCTGCCCAAAAGGAAACAGGATGAATGGCAAATTAACCGTAGTAGAATAAATAGAACAAACAAATAAATAAACATTTATGGAGCTCTTACTAAGTGCTAGGCAGGGTCCTAAATGCTTTCCTGTCCATTATGTCATTAGGTCCTGCAAACAGCTCGCAGATGATTACTATTTATTATTCCTACTTTGCACATGAGGAAACTGAGGCTCAGGTTATTCACTCGTCCAAGGTCAAGACAAGAATCTGCAGATCAGACTTCCCAGACCCCTCCCGTTGGACACACGCGCGCGCGCAACCGAAGCCATGCAGGGGTGCTCAAGAGACCAAGGCTGCTGGGCGTGCAGGGCGGCGGCGCCGGGCTGGGAACCAAGCGGCACCGGCTGTGCCCGGGGGGGGGGGGGGGGGGGGGTGTGTGCCGGCCCGAGGACAGAGCCGCTGATTCAGCGCCGCCCAGGCCGAGTACCCCCCCGCCCGGTAAGGGGCGCAAATGGGTGCCTGGAGTCCGGGGCGCACGGCCCGCAAACGTGACCGGGCGTTTCTGGGCCCCATAAAGCGCGGGCGGGATGTGAAGCCGTTTTATGGAGGCGGCCCGGCCCGCTTTGATTCCCGCCTCGACTAGGGCGAGGGCCGACCTCCAAGCTCGTAAACGTGTGGGCCGCGCGCTCCCGCGGGGCCGGTGGGCCGCGATATAAGGCGCCGCGCGGGCCCTGGGCTCCAGCCACCCGCCGCAGCCAGAGCCGCCGCCGCAATCATGTCCTGCCTCTCCTCCCGCCTTGGCGCCCCCTGCGGGGTCCGCGCCTTCAGCTGCGCCTCTGCCTGCGGACCCCGGCCAGGCCGCTGCTGCATCACGGCCGCCCCCTACCGCGGAGTCTCCTGCTACCGCGGCCTCACTGGGGGCTTTGGCAGCCGCAGTGTCTGCGGGGGCTTCCGCGCTGGCTCTTGCGGCCGCAGCTTCGGCTACCGCTCTGGAGGCGTGTGTGGACCCAGCCCACCCTGCATCACCACGGTGTCTGTCAATGAGAGCCTCCTCACGCCCCTCAACCTGGAGATCGACCCCAATGCACAGTGCGTGAAGCATGAGGAGAAGGAGCAGATCAAGTGCCTCAACAGCAGGTTTGCTGCCTTCATCGACAAGGTGGGTGTCCTTGATCACACCCTTCCTGAACCCCACCTATGCTAAGACTCAAGCTGGGGCACTGAGGGTAGAGTCAGAGGCAGGAGGGATGTGGCCCAGGTGAACTCCTAGTCTGATGGAGGACATGGGCACACATTCAGGGTACGGACAGACAGAGAGATGAGTATAGGGCAGCAGCTCCTGATTTGATCAAATGAGTATTATATACAGCCTTTGTCCAGACAGGCAGGGTCTCCACAGACAAGGGGGATGTTTTTGCTCACATTCTTGGTGAACGTGGAAGTCCTGGGAGAACCTTGGAATTCCCAGGCCAGTCTCTAGAAATGGGGAATGGGAGCTGCTCATATTGCACGTGGTACATTAAAGCATTAAATAACATTGAAACACCAGATGGGAAAATTCATCTCTTCTCATGCTTGTTTCCTTAAGATTAAATCTCATTAGAGGCTAATAGTCTTCAGTATCTCTCTAATACTGGCTGTTCTTCCACTTGTAATAAAGAGAGAAAGCCTCAGGTTCAGAGCTGCCTAGGACAACAGTTTCAGCTCGAATTAAATGTTTTATGACTTGCTTTTATGTATGCCTAGTGATACTGGTTTTACAACTATGGTGGTAATATAGAGTTAGCCCTTGAATCCCATCTAAGTGTAAATGCTAAGCAAGTCCACTTGCAGATAAATCGTGAGTAAAATCGTACAAGGGGATGGCAAATCCTGGAGTCAGCCTGCAAGTGTTTCATATTTGAGAATCGCTGCCAGCAGACTCGCCCTTTCAGTACACAGAAGATAAGAGAGACAGGGGTACAGGGCAGGGGGCTTGCCCACCAAGGGTGGACTCCAAGCCCACGTTCTCTCCAGCTCTCCAGGTGCTCCAGGGCTAGAGGGTCCAAAGCTTGGGGGCAGCTCTGTGCTCCCCTCCAGAGGAGCTGGTCCATCTCAGTGGGTTCTGCAACCCGAGTGTGCTGACATTCACACCAGGAAAGGCAGCCAGGGAGTGGAGCGTGAACAGTGTCCTGGCCCAGGAACAGGCCATCTGGGCTCCACATGCTGTCTATTCCCTGATCTGCTGGTGTGACACTGGGCAGTCACTCCCCCCTCTTGGCCCCAGTGTTCTCTACACCAGCAGGACTAGGTGCCACACAGTGTATGAGCTGGCCATGACTATGAGATGAGGGGCTAAGGCAGCCACAAGAGTCTCTACCACAGCATGAACCCTATTAGCTAAGACCCACCCTGAAGTGAACCCATATATTATCAGCAGTCCCCTGGTCCCCATTTCTGGAAGTTCAAAGTAGGGAATTCCCAGCCATACTCATCAGGTGGATAGAAGGACACCAAGGCTAAAAAGCAAGGTAATGTCTCAACTCCAGCTAAAAGGTCAGAGCAATGAAACACTGGAGGTGGGGGGCGGGGAGGAGGGATGAGGCTCGTCCTGGTTGCTGGCATCTTCTCTGGCCTGCACGGTGTTTGTTCATCATTGCCTGTCTTCAGTGTGAATGATTTCCAGTAAAGGCCTGCAAGCTTCACTTCCCCACAGTCTTCACCCTCCCCATTTTCCCCATTCGCATCAGCTGCCTGGCCTACAGAAAAGAATGAGCATCCCACACAGGAGTTTAGACCACCTAAGACAGTACCTCCCCCTCCCCCGGACTTCCTCGGGCCCCAGCCATCTTCCTTGCTGAGAGCCTGCCCTCTCTAACCACCCCAGTTAGGTAGCCCTTCCCACCTTGAACTTCCACACAAACAAGTGCTCAGCAACCTCAGCCTGAGTATGGGGAACAGAAGCAAATGAACCATATAGGCCCTGCCCCAGGAGAGCTCATAGTGAAAGACTTTCATCCTCCTCTGTCCTTCCCAACACTGCTTACATTCCTTTCTTCCAGGAAGCCTTCCGTGGTTGTCACTACCTCCCCAGCCCAACAGTAACCCCAGCCCAACAGTAACCCAGCCCATATGCCCCTCAGTTTCTCCCTCAGCCCATCCAGGCCCACCTGAACTGACCCTCACTCGGGCCTAAATAAGAATTCTCCCAGTGCCTTGTCAGGCCAAGAGAGCACAGCAGGAACCCTGCTGTCCACCCCTTTCCTCTGCACAGCTCACTGCTAATTCTGGCTTGACTCCCCCTGCTCCCCAAGGAGGGTCTGGGGATACTGGCTTCTCCCACAGACTTTTCTCCCATTTGCACTCCAGGTGCGCTTCCTGGAGCAGCAGAACAAGCTGCTGGAGACCAAGTGGCAGTTCTACCAGAACCGCAAGTGCTGCGAGAGCAACCTGGAGCCCCTGTTCGAGGGCTACATCGAGACGCTGAGGCGGGAGGCCGAGTGTGTGGAGGCTGACAGCGGGAGGCTGGCCTCAGAGCTCAACCACGTGCAGGAGGTGATGGAGGGCTACAAGAAGAAGTGAGTGCAGCCCGCAGGGTAGTCTCAAGAAACGAAGGGGGATTAAGCCCAAGCAGGATAGATTTGGGTTAGACCACAAGAGGAACGTCCCAATAGGAAGAAGACAGCGACAGGAAGCCTGTGGGGACAAATGCTCTGGGCGTTTACACACTGGAGAGAGTGGAAGCTGCTCCAGCTACCTCGTCCTTATGTGTCTGTTTCATTAATTCATCGAACATTTATTGACATCTACTCTAGGTCCCAGGTGCTGTGCTAGGACCTGAGGTGGGATGGGGGAGGGACGAGGGGCACCAGAACTCCTATGAGGTTCCTGCCCCCACCCCAGGGAGTTACAGTCCAGAAACAGGAGATCTACAGAAAGGTACAGACCACCTCCACACACCCGCCACCAACATCAGGAAAGAGAGTCCCTGAAACCGGAAGTCCCCTGGGTGACACGTTGGATGGAGCTCCCACAAGAAAGGGATGGACAAGTTCCCTTCTGGTCCAGCGATTTTTGATTCTATGACTTCCTCCCAATGATCCAATTCCTGGACTGTGTTTGTCTGGGCCTCCATTCTCTTTTTGTCTCTTCAAATCCCAGCATATTAAGTGTCTAGCCACTGAACCTTGTGCCCTTTATCTCCAGATACGAAGAAGAGGTGGCACTAAGGGCCTCCGCTGAGAATGAATTTGTGGCCCTGAAGAAGGTGAGTGACCCTGGAATACTCATCCCCCAACTCGGAAAGCAGGGCAGAGGCAGGAGGGAATGATCTTCAATTCAGAGAGGCTGAGCGACTTCCCCAGAAGCACATAGAGCAACCCCGCTCTTATTTTCTCCCCCCACCCCCAAAGGGCCCAATCCTCCCAGGGAGGCCCCCAACAGCACAGTACACTGCCTGCTTCAAACAGGGCACTCTCCTCGTCCATCCCATCTGAGATAACTCCCATCTGGCCTATGGCTTCCCACCCGTTCTGCCCTGGGCCTGCCAGAGAGCACACATTCCTAACTATGGTGAGTAAAAGAGCCCATGAGTGCTAGGGGACAGTCACATCCTCAGGCCCCCCAACAGCGGGGAGATGCTGGCCTGAGCAGTGCTATTGTTCCTCACCCCTTACACTTGATCTGCCACAAGTGCCATCACGTGGACCCCCAGGTCCTTCCCACCACCTCCAGAGGAGGAAGGCAGGGATTACTGTGAGGAAACTGAGGCACTGAGGTCAAGGCTTTTGTCCAGAGTTGCCCTGGTTTGGAAGGGGCAGAATTGATCCCTGAGACTTCTTCTGACCACAGACCTAGTTTTCTTTCCCTGAGGTGTCAGGGCAGAGAGGGCTCGGGTACCATTAGAATGGACCCATTTTACACCGGAGCCTAAGTTTCAGTGATAGGGCAAGGTGTGGGTTCTGGAGGGATCATCGCGTAGGTACCAGAGGAAGTGCCTAGAAACCTCACAGTCCCCCTCCCTTACCCAAACCTGCTCCTGACCTTTCTCACGGTATAAAGAACCCCACCAGTTCCAGGATATCAGGCATAAGGAGGGTTTCCAGGGAGTTTTCCCAGCCCAGTGAGTGCTCTCTGGGTGGCAAGAGCTCTGTGTGGCCTTCCCAAAGAGACACCTGTGGCCCCCTCTCCCCTTTAGGATGTGGACTGCGCCTACCTCCGCAAGTCAGACCTGGAGGCCAACGCGGAAGCCCTGACTGAGGAGATTGACTTCCTGCGGCGCCTGTATGAGGAGGTGAGAGGCTGTTGTCCAGGTAGAAACCTGGCAGCCAGCCTGGAAGAGGGGGCCGTGGCCTAGAACTGGAGTTGGCCAGGGATTTGGGCTGGGGCTACAGTCCATGAGGCTATGGTGGGAGCAGGGGCTAGAGACCCAGGAAGGGCTGAGAAGATTGGATCCACACTGGTGTGTAAGGCTAGGGTGTAAATAAGATCCTTCTGTCTTCTCACCCCCCACGGTCTACAGGAGATCCGCGTTCTCCACGCCCACATCTCAGACACCTCGGTCATCGTTAAGATGGACAACAGCCGGGACCTGAACATGGACTGCATTGTGGCCGAGATCAAGGCTCAGTACGACGACATCGCCAGCCGCAGCCGGGCTGAAGCAGAGTCCTGGTACCGCAGCAAGGTGAGGGGCCCAGCTCCCTCTTCCCAGGATTCCAGCAGGAGGGAGGCTGAAAGGGCTCTGGTCTTTATCTATGTGGAATGGACAAGAGAAGGACAGGCAGCTGTCAGCACAGGGTGGCAGATGTGCAAGTTGTGGGGCTCTGTGGGATAACATGTCCTGAGTCTCAGGAGCATCTCTGCTTCCCCCCCAGTGTGAGGAGATGAAGGCCACGGTGATCCGGCACGGGGAGACCCTGCGCCGCACCAAGGAGGAGATCAACGAGCTCAACCGCATGATCCAGAGGCTGACGGCCGAGGTTGAGAATGCCAAGTGCCAGGTAAGGGTCATCCGGGGCCTCCCCAGGTCACACAGGCATGTGTGTCCCCAGTGGATCTCACCATTCATGCTCCAGGCCATCTGCATGACCAGTGTCCCTGGTTGTGGTCCCTGGGGGAGACTCAGCTAATGAAAGGGAGAGGCCTGCTCTTGGGGTGTTCCAGGAAATGGACAGAGGGACCTGGAACCATAACCTACCTTGTTTTCCTCTGGGTCCCCAGAACACCAAGCTGGAGGCCGCAGTGACCCAGTCGGAACAGCAGGGCCAGACGGCTCTGAGCGATGCCCGCTGCAAGCTGGCAGAGCTGGAGGCCGCCCTGCAGAAGGCCAAGCAGGACATGGCCTGCCTGGTCAAGGAGTACCAGGAGGTGATGAACTCCAAGCTGGGCCTGGACATCGAGATCGCCACCTACAGGCGGCTGCTGGAGGGCGAGGAGCTGAGGTGAGTCCCACATCTGTGGGAAGAGCATCTCTTCAGTCTCCCAGAAACTGTGCATGAGCAAGGCGCCTATTTGTGTGTCATTTGCATGTCATTTGCATGTTATTTGCATCAAGCCTATGTGGAGGAGGGGATTTGCAAGGATTGCTCTCCCCAGCTAATTTTTGTCTCTTTGCTCTCCCTCCAAGGTTATGTGAGGGCATTGGTGCTGTGAATGTCTGTAAGTCATCCGTACTGTGGGTTCTGAAATAAGGGCTTGGGTTCCTGTCAGGGAGGAGGGCCAGATCGCAAATATTTCAGGCCTGTGAGCCATCTAGTCTCTGTCTCAACTACTCGACTTCGTCGTTGTAATGTGAAAGCCTTGGCCATAAGCAATACCTAATGAGTACATACGGCTTAGTTCCAATACAATTTTATTTGCAAATAGAGGAGGCCACCACAGGCCATCTTTGAAACCCTGAAAGGCAGGGGGTGGGTGGCAGTGAATAATTATAAGTTAAATTACTATTTATGATAAGTTAAATAGCTATTTTTGCCTATAGGGAGGACCTCGGAGAAGAGTTTATCAAAGATTCTTGAGGCCTGAGTGCATGAAGGGGAAGGAGGGAGGAGGCATGAGGATGTCTGTGGGGAAGGCAGGAATAGAAATGGAGGGAAGGAGATCTGAGCAAGAGAAGGGGGCGCTCTCCAGTAGGCAGGGGCCCCTGGGGACGACTTTGCCTGGGCGGGGGGAGGGGGAGGTGCGGGACTAAGCCCTGTTCTCCTGCAGGTGTCAGCAGCTCCCGCGGCGGGGTCGTCTGCGGGGATCTCTGCGTGTCCGGCTCCCGGCCTGTGACCGGCAGTGCGTGCAGCGCCCCCTGCAGTGGGAACCTGGCGGTGAGCACGGGCATGTGCGCGCCCTGCGGACAGAGGTGCAGCCCCAGCTCCTTGGTGCGGTTCCAGTAGTGCCTCGGGCTTCGTCAACACACTGCTCTCCGAGTTAACAGTCCCTGCCTCCAGCGGTGAGGCCCGCAGCAGCCCAAGTCCCTGGGCTTGAAGCGGAAGGGCTTCCAGACCCAGCCGGCCTGACCTGCCCGAAGTGCAGCCTTATCTTTCTGCATCTCCTCCGCCTTCTCTCCGTCTTCACTCGCGGTTTCTTCCGGGGAGGGCCGGGCTCCCTGCCCAGCTGGCAGCTGCCCTCGTCCTTACCGCCAGTCCCAGGAGTCTAAATACCTGGGTTTCTCGCAGCCTGCGCAGAGATCCCATCCTGACTTGGGCTTTTCTGGGGGGTCTGGCCTGGCAGAAACCTGTGGCTTCAAAGGGACAGACTGGTCCCAATCCCCTAGGCTGTGCACGTCCGTGGGTGCTGCGTCTGTGCCGCTATCCTGCCAGACCTCTCCTGCCTTCCTAACCCTCTAACCCTCAGAGTGACCGAGGCTGCAGCTCCACGGGGACACCGTTTGGTGGCTGCTCTGGCTCCCTCTCCCCTGCGCTTAGTGCTTAGTCTCCGCGGTTCCAATAAAGCTCATGGGTCATACGTAATGTGCTCAGAAAATCTCCCATTTGTGCCTACATAAGTGGGCTTCCAGCCCAGTTTTTCGGAGGCTGACAGAGAAGGTGTTCACAGCCATGATTAGTGGGGGGGAGGGGGGTGAGAAGAGGGTTGTCTCCAAGGCACCCCACCCCTAATGCCTCATTCATACACCTAGAAGACTGCAGGGGGATGGGTGGACAGCCCCAAATGCCCAGCTACCCAGCATGAGGGGGAGTTGGAAAGGAAGGGAGAAGGCCAACAACTGGGAGACTTAGTGGGGGGTAGGGAGTGGGGGCTGGCTCTCTTGCCACCTTTGGTGGGAAACCTTATCACTCATGGCTGGTGGGACACCACTTCCTCCACCTCCCAGTTCCACCTCTACCTGAATATAAGATAATTCCTGGCCATGGGATCAAATATAGACTTCCCCTCCCCCCAGAAACCAACACTCTCTTGATAGCCTCCCACCCCCACCCACCACCAGCACAGCACCATCACCCCCGCGGGTGTCCCAGACACAGAGACTTCCCCACTTCCTCTTCCCCACTATCCATTGTATGTGCTGTTGCCCATCCAGAACAGATATCCCCAACATAGACCACAAAAACACCCCCACACTTACATAGACACACAGATATCCCCCCTTCAGACACCCTGACACACAGACATTCTTACCAAGCAGACAACACACAGACGCCCCTCCCCCTACCAGGGATCCAGATCCCCAGCCCATGGACCTGGCACAAAGCCTCCTGCCAGGGATCTAGACTCTGGAACCTCCTCACCCCACTCCCTCTCCAAAACACACAGACCTCCTCCCATGCCATCACCACCCCTCCCCCAGAATCCCAGACCCAGAAAACCCCCATCAGGGCCCCAGGGCCAGACAGACCCAGCACCAGCAAACGCTGGCTGGCCTGCGAGTTGGCTGGTGTACCTGAAACCCAGGCCTGTGACAACTGAATCTCTGGGGCCTGCTCACGGCCAGGAATGTACTCTGGTGGCACAGGCCGGGTTGCTGTAGTGTCCCAACAGCCCTCCCACTCCCTCAGCAGGAGAGGACTTCAGTGCCCCTCTGTAGCAGAGCCAGACTTCCCTGGGTATTATTTCTGGCTTTCAGGAGAGGAATTGGACTCAGCTCCAGCCCTGGGAGGAGGCCAAGGCCTCACACAGGCTATGAGCCGTGCCCCTTAAATCACTAGCAGCAGCACGACCCCAATGTGCTTTCCCAGTCTCCTGCATGGGTGACTCCTCAGTACTCAGAGCAGACCCTATGCTCTCTAAGGCCCCTTCTTCCCCAGCCCTCTCCATCCAGCTGATGAAGCCAGGATACCAAGTACCACAATGGGCATCACCCAGGCTTCAGAAAGGCTGCTTTACTAGAAGCTATTTGGACATGATTTTTTTCATTTCATTTATTTATTTGACAGAGAGAGACACACAGAGAGAGAAGGAGCACAAGCAGGGAGACTAGGAGAGGGAAAGCAGGCTTCCCACCACCGAGCAGAGAGCCCAATGCAGGGCTCAATCCCAGGACGCTGGGATCATGACCTGAGCCGAAGGCCGACGCTTAATGACTGAGCCACCCAGGTGCCCCCAGACATCATTTTACAGCCTGCCGGCCAGTCTTGATAACAGGGACGAGAGTCCTCCTGGGACCGCGGGGGACCAGTGGTGCAGGTCTCCGCACACTGGGGCTCATTTTCGTATGCTTCTATGTGTGGCCGCTGAGGTCCTGATGGAATAGGACTTGAAGGCCCCAGGCCCGCCGCTTGAGAAGCTCAGGGCATTGCTGCCCATGGTTCCCCCAAAGGCCACACCGCCGCCCCGTCCGCCAGTGGAGTTCACCACAGCTAGAAGGAAAGGGAAGAGGGCTCCATCAGCACCTGGGGCCCCAGACCTCACTACACCCACTCTCCTGCTGTGCCTGCCCCTCTCCCTCCCCACAGCCTCTCCTCCCTCCACCCCCACCCTCCTCAGGCCAGCCCAGAAGGAGTCTGGGACAGCAGTGGCCTGCCCAGGTACCCCCCTATCCCACTCTGCCCTCTTGCACGGCTTCCCTGAGCCCCTGAGCCTGACTGGCTAGGGAGCTCCAGGGCACCCGCTAAAAGCTGGTGAGGGAAAGAAGCTCCTGGTCCACACAAGGCCGGGCCCTGGAGCCAATGTGCCATCCTACAGACCCAGCCTAGTCTGGACAGCACAGGACATGGGCATCAGCCAAGGACTTACAGATGTTCACAGCTCCCCCTCCATCTCCGGACAACCTGGGGGCAGAGGAGAGACTTGTGAGAGCAGCTCTTACCTCCAAGCTGGAGAAAGCAGCACCGGGGCCCCTTCCCCCCAGGAGCCAAGCAGAACTGGTATGCTTTCCTCAGTCCCACACCTCAGTGTTACTGTTACAAAATAAGGGGGGGTGGTGTGAGGAGAGTTCATGCAGACCCTCCTACATACAGGCCCTGGTGACCTGGGGCAAGGTCTCAAAGCCTCCATTTCCCCACCTATAAATCAGAGCTAACTTAGCCCCAGCCTCACGAGTTGTTTGTGGGGGCTGCATAATATAACTTACCCAGAGCCCTGGGCACACAGGGTGTGATGAAGGGTAGTCGTGATTATTTATGAAGACAGCTGCCTCCCCTAACCAACTCATAAAACCCTCAAAGTGGGCTGTAGCTTACCGATTCTTGATCTCTGGCCCCTGGCATGGGGTCTGGCATGTAGCAATTATTCTGTATGTACCGAAATAATTAGCTAATTGTTGCTTTCCTGAATGCAGCTAAAGCTGGGACTGAGGAGGGAGCAGAAGGTAGTTGGGCTGGCTTTAAGCAGCCCTACAGGAAATCAAAAAGCCACGAAACAGTTGGGTGTGTTTGTTTTGTGACTCACAGCTCCATTGTCACCAAGCCCTTGGCCTTGGGGTTGAGTTTGCTCTGCAGTGGGGAGGGGAGCCTTTGCCTTGGTAGAAGGAGTGAGGGGAGCCCAGCTGGCCTCATCAGCCCCAAGTTCAGGAAGAGGACAGAGCAAAGGACAAGGGCAAGAGATAGATACGCTAGGAAGATGCCAGGCCCCTTGTTCAACGGACCCCGGTGAGTGCTGGGAGTTGCTGGCATCTGTGGGTAGGGAAGGAAGACAGGCGGCAGTCAGGTAGAGATTCCAGGAACAGCTTCTGGTGCCGTGCCTAAGAACTCGGGAGGAAGAGACCTGAATGTCTAAAGCTCTGGGGATGAGTGTGATTTGTCTCTTCTCATCCTAAGTAAATATTTGGTTTTGTGCCGAATTTTATATTCGTAACTCTGTATCCCTAAAAGAAGGTGCCCCAAATCGCATGAGTTTCTAAATCCACAAATACTACACCTGCCCCTGGGAAGGGTGGAGGGTTTAACGGGATTAAAAGGAGGGAGTCCATCTCTATGTCCTCTAAGAAGTGGAGAGAGAAGAGTTGCCTCTCAGAGAACAGGGATCCAAGCCCTGATGATAACAATCTACGCTGAGATTAGGCTTTAAGACGGAATGTTTGCACTCTGTGAGAACTTGGGCATGCCGCTCCCCGGCCCTGAACTTCAGCCTGCTCAGCAGCCCATGGGAGGAAATGGGTCTGGCCCCATCCTAAGCGTCCCCAGTTCTGGTTCTATGAGGAAGAGAAGCCCAGGTTGTGTCTTCCCAATAGAGTGTGGCTCCCACACCCATGGTGGCCGAGGGTGCAGAGAGCGGCATCATGGCCAGGACATTTGGGCCCCAGGGCTGCCCTGTGCCTCAGATCATCTGCTCTCTCTTCCCAGGGGCCTTTGGTGTTCAGTTTCTTTTCCCAAAAAGACCAGATGCCAACCCAGGCAGGGATAGGTCAACTGCAGTGGCCGAGACCCTTCCTCCTCTCTTTCCTCTCCTTCCCTGACTCATACCCTGTGGCCATGTTTCTTCTCTCCCTCCTCCCTGCACAGCACTCTGCCCTAGCACTCCCTCGTTCCCCAGTTCCTTCCTGTTCACATCATCCATCTTCCAGCCTGTCTCCCTAACCCCTCGGGAAAAATTCTCCCCAAAGAGAAAAGCTCTGTGGACATTCAGCATTTTACAAATGCATGTGCGTGGTCTCTAGGTGCTCCCTTTACAAATGTTTGCTGTCCTCGGCCCCTGCGCGAGCTCCCCGAGGGCAGAAGCCTGTCTTATATACTCTCTATCTCCTTACTGGGCCAACAGAAGCCAAGCCCTGATAAGTCCCACCACCAAGTCTTGGCCCACGCTGTTCCCTCTCACCCTCTCCACACCTTAACCTTCGCCTAGGGCACGACTCTAAAGCCTGGCAAATTGACTGAATGAATCAACCAGTCCATCCAGGTGAGAACGAAGGCCAAACTTCATGGACATAGGTTCCGTGTGTTTCATGAAAAGTTCCTATAACACTAACCCAGCCCAGCCTGCTCTCTGGCAGCAGGTATGCAAATATCTGTGGGACCTCCTGACGTTCAGTCAATATCAAGTAACTTACCACTCAGTGAAGCAGGAGAAGCAGCTTGGCAATCATGAAAGAAAGGAATCAGCAAAGCTTGACTACACACTCTCCCCTCAATTCAAA